GATCGGGGCACGGTGAAGATATTGAATCAAGTGTTTGGGAGGTTGGCTTCCACCGATCCTCTCGCCCCCTTCGGCGCGAGCGGCTTCCGTACTCGGTGGAATCATCTGCTTTTGGCTCTGGGCGTCCCTCTTGCCAAAGCAGGTCAGGGGCTCAACCTGACGCCCGCTTGTCTGCGGGGCTCTGGCGCAACAGACTTCTATATCGCTACGGAAGACGTCCCTCGCGTCTTCTGGCGAGGGCGTTGGCGTCAAGCTTCCAGTGCCGAGCGCTACCTGCAAGCCGCCGCCGCCTCCACAGTTCTTGCTGCGCTGCCCGAGCACGCACGGGCTCGGATCTTGTTCTTCGCCACCGCCAGCGACCGCCTTGTCGCTTCGTTCCTCCAAGTCGGCCCCGCCGCTTGGCCTGCCCTGCTTGCGGCCGCCCGCCAAAACCTTGTCACTTCGCAAGGTCCTTGAGCACGGGTATGGCTGCCTCGCCGACATCGGCGACCAGACGGACTCCACCGTCTGACGCGCGGCGCCCCGGCTTGAGCGCGCGGGACGGGCCTGCCCATTTTGGGCCGCCCCGCGCGCGCACGCCGCGGCCGCGCTCGGAGACAGCTCGCTAGCGCGCGAGCGGGAGAATGCTTCTTCTATTCTCTGTGAGCAAGCTCCTGCTGTCTCCGCAGCTTCTCTGCCCCCCTCCCTCCTCTCCCACTCTAAGGCTGACGGGCGCTGCCTCGCCGACATCGGCGACCAGACGGACTCCACCGTCTGACGCGCGGCGCCCCGGCTTGAGCGCGCGGGACGGGCCTGCCCATTTTGGGCCGCCCCGCGCGCGCACGCCGCGGCCGCGCTCGGAGACAGCTCGCTAGCGCGCGAGCGGGAGAATCCTCCTCCTCCTCCTCCCCCTCCTCTTCCTCCGCCTCCACCTCTTCCTCTTCCTCCTCCTCCTCACCTTGTTCCCACATTTGTGGGAAAATCCACGCGTTTTCCACACTCCTGGCGAGCACCGGTCTCGCTGCACAGCACACCCCGGCAACAAAGCGCAGGGGCCCGACGCCTTCATCAGCTACATTTCTGAAATCAACGTGTGCGAGAAGAGCGAGCAGTGGCAGCAGGCTCTGGCTTGGCTCCGGGAGCGGGCGAGAGTAGAGAAGCAGCCCGACGTGCTCAGTTACAACGCCGAAAGAGCGTGCGAGTACAACGGGCAGTGGCAGCAGGCGTTGGCTAGACTCCGAGACACGGAGACACGGAGACGTGCGATGCTGGAGGCAGGCTGAGAGAAACGTGCGGGGGGGCCACGATCAGCTGCAATGCTGGAAGCAAGCCGTGCGAGAAAGGAAGCGAGCAGTGGCAGCGGACAGTGGCACTGAGCAAAATATGGGGGTGGGCGATCAGCTACAACGTTGGGAGCAGTCCGTGCGAGAAAGGGAGCGGGCAGTGGCAGCGGACGCTGGTGCTGAGCGAACGCGCGGGTGGGCCACGATCAGCTACAACGCTGGGGGCAGCTCGTGCGAGAAAGGGCGAGCGCAGTGGCAACGGACGGACGCTGATGCTGAGCGAAACGCGCGGGTGGGCCTCGATCAGCTACAACGCTAGGAGCAGCTCGTGCGAGAAAGGGCGAGCGCAGTGGCAGCGGACGCTGGTGCTGAGCGAAACGCGCGGGTGGGTCACGATCAGCTACAACACTGGGAGCAGTCCGTGCGAGAACGGGGGCGCGCAGTGGCCGTGGATGAGGGGAATGCACCCCGCAGACCCTGGCGCCGCGAGAAAACGGCTGCGAGAAGTGGGAGGGGATGATAGAGCCCGACGGCACCTAACTAACTCCGCTATGTACAGTCGCGCACGAAAGCACAGGGGCGTAAATCACCAACTACAGTGCTGGGATCAACTCGTGTGCGGAAGGCTGGGGAGCAATCGTGCGAAGCAGGGTTGAATTTCATCGGGAGCCAGTCAGTAGCCTCTTGCGAGAAACGGGTGGCGAAGTTGGAGGCCAATATCGCCGAGAGCACCAAAGCCAGCCTCTTGCGACAAGCGGGGGGCGAAGCTGGAGCCGAATTTATTACCTAAGCCGACCTCATCGCCCATCGTCGCCGCGGTGCGTGCCTCGCAACTGCGGAGATCAGGCCTGCAACATCCTGCAGCATTATATTATTCCTCCTCCTCCCTTTCCTCCTCCTTCTCCTCCTCATCCTCCTCCTCGTTTTCCTCCCTCTCGTTCTCCTCCTACTCCTCCTCCTCCGCCTCCTCCTCCTACTACTCCTCATCCACATCCTCCTCCTCCTCCTCCTCCTCCTCCTCCTCCTCCTCCTCCTCCTCCTCCTCCTCCTCCTCCTCCTCCTCCTCCTCCTCCCCCTCATCTTCCAGTCTGCGTCCTCCGTCCGTCTCCTCAGAGCTGGCTGCTCTCAGAGCTGCCTCCGCCTCTTCAAAGCTGCCTCCTCGAAGCTGCCTCCTGACGTGCGATGACCCCTCCTCAAAGCTGCCTCCTCCTCCTTCTCCTCCAAGCTGCATCCTCCAATCTGCCTCCTCGCGGCTTCCGAGGAGCCCCGTGGGCGAGGCAGGCCTTGAGCCACCCGTTTTCAGGGCGCTCGTTTCGAGCTCACCGCAGAGGCGGACAAGCGAATGATCAGTGGCAATGATGCCCCCAGCGCAGAGTGTAGAAGGAGAGAGAGAGAGAGAGAGATAGAGAAAGAACAAACAAACACGGCTTCCCCTCCTCCATCCAAGCTCCTGTCCCCACTCCTCCTCCCCTCCTTGATCTGTGTCTGTCTCCTCCTCCTCCTCCTCCTCCTCCTCCTCCTCCTCCTCCTCCTCCTCCTCCTCCTAGTGTTCCTCCTGATCCTCCTCCCACCTACGGTCAGGACAGTTTGCTTAGCATGTCGCGCCGCCGGTCCTGACCCATCACATCTCGGCGCCACACGCTAAGCACGTCCCCGTCCCCAAGCGTCAGCGCCCCGAGTTTTTCCCAGCCTCCCGCCCCGCGAGGCAGAGCGACACGCTACCAGCTTGCAGGGCATAGCGTGTCGCAGGGGCTGCCGCTGGGACAGCCTGAGCAAAATTTCCCGACCGTCTCTTCCCTCTTTTCTGTCCTCGTGCGCCTCCTCCTTCTCCTGCTGCTGCGCCTCCGCGTCCTGACCTTGATGCTCATGGGGCATGGCGCAAGGTTGAACGATCCCCGCGGTATCAGAAGCCAACGCCAGAGTCGGCACGACACAACCCGCTGCACGGTGATGAGAATCTTCGCTGGCGTCGAAGACGCCCAGGACATTTTCGTTCGTGTTTTCATTGTTTTTTTATCGAGATCCAAACGTTGAGTCAACGTAGTGGTTGTGCCGGAAAGGGTTCCGGCCCAAGGCTCTCTTCTTTTAGTTGTGTTCATTGGTCCCCGATGCTATGGTCGAGGTGGGCCAGTGGATCTTCCTCCTGGTACATAAGTGTTGAGGTCAGGGTGGGCTGGCGCATGTTGCTTCTGCGTTTCAAGCGAAGCGTTTGGTTTTGGACTCCCACTCGATGAGTGGCAGGGTGCGTTCCACCTCTGGGTATGTAAGAGGCGTTCCGTGCGAGCACGCCTGAGGGTGGTGCGCCCCCCACGCCGCATCCTCGACAGACAGCGGGGTCCGCGGGCCCCCGCTTCCTTTTCGTGAGAATGTGAGGACGCGGAGCGCTCTCGCGTAGGACGTAGGACCTTCGGCAAATACCAATCTGCAGTTGGAAGCCGATTTCCCCAACCATCCTGTGGTGATAAGTCCTCGTTTTGAAGAGAGCGCCCAGCGTCACTCCTGCCTTCCTTCCTTCCTTTCTTCCATCCTTCCTTCCTTCCTCCTCCCTCTCCTCCTCCCTCCTCCCATCCCTGCCTCTGCTCTCCGCATCAGCCTACAGTTTCAGCACTCCCCTCACAAGTGTCGTGGCCTCACGGGGAACTCCACCTACGGCCCCAGTGGCGCAGCCTGCATGTGGGCGACACTCGCGTTTCGGCACACCCTTCACTTTTTTCGTGGCCCCACAGGGAGCTCCACCTACTGCCCAAGGGACACAGCTCGCATGCTGGCGTTGCCCCATAGGGAGTTCCACCTCAGACGGTACTCACAATTGCGGTATGGTTTGGTTCTTCGCCAGGCTCAGTTTGGATTCCCGGATCCCATTCTATGTTCGACGCAATGTGTTTCAATCGTCGGTTGGTGTTTCTTCTTCCCCCCATCTTCAGGGGGCGAGCGGAAACCCAATGTACTTTGAGCACCGTCCTACTTTCGTCTAGACCTTCATCCGACCGATGGGTAATTCCCCAGAGGCCTTCGGGCCCCTGTCCGGGTTCTTCTCCTCCTTTCCCCCATCTTTTCTCTTTTCGGGGCGCCCCAAAAGGTGTGGTGACCACACCGCGTGGTGAGACAGGGGAGATTCGGGGTCACCACGTCATTTCGGGACTTGGGTGTTTATCCCAGGATGTCTCAAGCGACTGGGGCCTGCGCGGTCCCAACATCGTGCGGTGACGGACCGCACGGTGAGATCGCTGGGGCTTCCGAGATCACCACGCGGGCCGTCACCACAAGCTTTAGGGCTCGAACTCTTCCTTCCCCCCTTCGCTGTTGCGTCGGTTTCCTTTTTGCACAGTGTCATGGCGCCAACATCGCAGAGCGGATTTCGTTCGGGAAACAATGGGATGGGCCCAGATTGTCTTGGAGACGTTCGTTCCAATTTTCGAAGTGAATTTCGTCTGGATTTTTTTGGCCAGCAAGATTATCAGGCCTTCAAGTGAAATTCACTTTTTTGTTCGCCCGCCGAGTCGGGGTTTTGAATTGACAGAAGTCCACGCAAGAATCCGCTGCATCACGTCTGCAAGGTCGGCGCAGTGAACAGTGTGAGCCGCTCAGCGTCCGCCTCCTCATTCTGCACAGCGAGCTGCGTAACGTCCGCCTCCAACGACGACGACGATAGCGATGCCTCCCCCGACGACGACGAAGACGACGACGACGCAAGTCTCGACGACGAAAGCCACGACGACCACGACGACGACGTTCCAGGACCCGTCTGGCGCGTGGGAGTTCAAGTACGCCACTGGCCTCCAGAAGTCCGAGAGCAAGTTGTGGTCTTACGTATTATTATTATTGTTGTTATTAGTATTCGTCTTCTTCTGATCATCATTCTTCTCATCCATCCTCGTTTGCTTCACCGTCGTCGTCGTCCTTGTTTGTCGTCATCGTCGTCATCGTCCTGTTCCTCTTTCTCTCATACGTTCCTGCCCGTAGTCCTTGTCCTCCTCATCCTCCCCTTGTGCACCCTTCTTGTCCTCACTCGTCAATATCGTCCTTCTCCTGCCGTTCGTCCTGCCCCTCCTTCTCGTGGTCATCCTCGTCCTGTTCCTGCTTCTTCTCCTCCTTTGTGCATATCCTCTTCTCTGGGCCATCAACTTGGCATTCCCATCATTATTGTCATCATCTTGCCTTTCTCCTCGTTGAGTTCCTCCTCCTCCTCCTCATCCTCCTCTTGGTCATCTGTATTGTCGTAGTTTTCGATTGCCTCCTTATCATTAACCTCATCAGATGATTATTGGGGAAGACGAATAGGGACAGGAGGAGTAAAAGCAGTGCAGGTATCTCGCTCCAGATGAGTTCTGCTGAGCGGGCTCAGCGTGCAAGCGCCATTCGTCAGGGCGTCTGTTGGCCCACATCAGCTAGGAGGAGGAGGAGGAGGAGGAGGAGGAGAGTAAGCAGATCCGTGTATTGTATCGGCACCATGGGGAACAAAATGATGCCGATATCGCCACTCCCCGGAGGACCTCTCCAAGGGTGCGTTCTGACGAGGATATCGACGCGAATCCAGCCGTAGCGACGAGGGAAGGGCAGCGGAATCGGGATGTCCCCCTCCTCTAACACTAGTCGGGGGGGCTTCAAGGTCATACTTCTTACGCGACCTCATCGAGCCGCTGGAGTCGGTCGGCGTCAGGGTCTCGGAAACCAAGCGGAAGTCACTGGACGAGATCGGCGACGCCACTGAAGTTGGGAAGAGGTTTCGGACGGGGCTGGGGCGAGGGTAATCCGTTCCGGAGCGTTCCGGAACGCTCTCAGAGCGTTCCGGAACGGTCTGAGAAAGCCGCGGCACCCGAGACATCTTCCAGAGCCGCCGGATCTCAGAGGTTCTCGATTTGTTCTCACCTGATCTTATCCTCGTCTTGGCTTCGGCTTAAGGTTGCTGGCCGACAGCGTGCCGAACGGCGCGCCGAGCGAGATCATTAGTGCCACGACGCAGTACGACCGGGAAGGTCGGCGCCAGGACATCATCGAGTGCACATCGGTCTTTGAAAGTCTGTATTTTTGGGCACCCCGGTTCGAATCTACGTCAGGTGCGTTGGGCGTCACTCAAGGGGGGGCGATGCATTGGGGGGGCAGCGAGGGCTGTAGACAAGGAGCCCCTTCAGGCCCCTAACGGAGCCCTTTAGGGTCCAAGAGGGGGCCTTTAGGGTCCGAAAAGTGCACATCTCTTCCCCCCCATGTATCGCCCCCCCCCATTTGGCGACGCCCAAGTGCTGTAGGTTTGCGCCGCGTTGACGCACAGCGGCGACCCCAGTACGGCTGTTCAAGGTTGAACGCCGCCGGTGGCGCTGAACTGGCCGACATCGAACGACTTGCGCTATCGAGAAGCCGCGATCGTTCAAGGTCGAAAGATCCACGCGGTGCCCTCCTGGTTCAGGGATCGAGCGGGTTTCCTCTTCCCTCGTCCTCGGGGGGCGGGCGGAGAGCCAGTCTACTTCAACGCCTTCTTGTCCTGGAAAGCCGCCTCTTCCGACCGACAGGTACGCGTACCAGTGGAAGTTCGACGATAACATGGCGAAGCAGCTGGGCAGGAAGAGGTTCCAGCTGCACAACAAGGCGCTGGTCATGATCGAGCGCAAGAAGCAGTTCCTGGTCCAGGCAAGCGTGGAGGAGCCTGGGTGGGTTTTTGGTCTTCTCCTTTTCCTCCTCGTCCTCCTGGTCCGCGACCGTGTTCGTTAAAGTGGCCAATGTAGCGCGTGCCCGTGAGCGACGATTCTTCTCCACAGGATTGATCTGTTGGGGACCCTGGCGGCAGCGCTGGGCCACCTGATACGGCACAATCGGCGTCAGTGAACAGTTCGGAGACTCGCGAGGTTCTGCTGCGGCGCTACCAGCAGAATAAGGCCACTTGTTCTACGCCTTCACATGCTGCTGCTCCGCCACGTAGCGCGTTCCACATGTCAAGGAGCCGAAAGGCTGATGTTTCGCCCTCGGCGGAAGCTGGCGGAAGCCCTGTAAAAAGGCGGGCGGACTGAAAGCAGAAACGGTTGTTAGTGGCGAAATCTGGCGGCAGGGTGGTGGAAGCCAGCGGGTGCGTCCCTCCAAGAGGTCAACGCCGGCGCATGCAGGGCCTTCGGGGCCGAGCACGCGTTGGGCAAGAGCTGCGGCACCTCCTGCTCGGCTTTTTCCATGACGGCGGCGAGGTCCTCAGAAGCTGCTGGGCGCATCCCACCTCGCTCAATGCCCGAACGGGCCTGTACGGTAAAGGCAGCTTGGCCTCACACCCTGACGTTGGGTCATTGGTGCTAGCGGCTACTGGTTTGCACATGTGTATGTATTCGTGTGTGTGCGTGTCTGTGTGCACCTGGCCGCTGCACGCTTCGCGTGGATTTGCAGCCCCTCTCCCATACCACCCATTGCTGCACTTGACAGTTTGCAGCGGTTTGTACACTGTGCTCTCGACAATGTTCGATCGCAATTAACACGTCCATCTGCTGCTCCCGCGCCTGAGGACCCTCTGCGCCGCCGGCTTAAAAAAGTGTGTGTGTGTGCACACAATGCACACTGGCATTCTGCCCATCACGCCACCGTGCTTGGGTGGTGGACCAGAGGCCTCTTCGATGCGCATAGGTTCTCTATGGGGGCTCTCTCGGATGCCCCTTGCAGGGCTCGTGGTGGCCTCTCGGGAAATCCTTGGGGGCCTCCTTGAGGCCTCTTGGGGGCGCCTCGGGGGCCTCTGGGGGATCTTGGGATCGTCTTGGGTGGAGAACTCAAAATCGCAGTTCGTGCTCCCCCCCCTGGGGCCTCCTGGGCCGTTTGGGGGCCCTCTTGGCCCGTCTTCCACCGCCCACCAAACCACCCCAACCCAACCCGAAGGCCGCGATTTGCCCTCCATTTCCAGTGGGGGGCGGTCGGGGAACATCGAAAAAACCCGTGGAACCCGTACCCCCCCCAACCCGAAATTCGGGTCAAATTCGGGTCTTCGGGTTGGGTTGGGGTGGTTTGGTAGGTGGTCAGTCTTGGGGCCCTCTTGGGGGCCTCTCGGGTAGTTTTGGGGCCTCTTGCGCCCGTCTTGGACCGATGGAAGCCCGAAAAGGCGAGAACGCGAAAATCCGACACGAACCTGTTTAAAAGCAACGATGTTTGCCTTTGGGGGCGTCTTGTGTGCCTCCTGGGCCGTCTTGACGCCATCTCAGGTTGTCCTGGAGCTTTCCTGGGCCGTATTGGAGGCCCTTCGGGCCGTCTTAGGGGGCCTCCTTGGTGCCCGAGGAGGAGGACGAGGAGGAGGAGGAGGAGGAGGAGGAGGAGGAGGAGGAGGAGGATTGGCCAATCGTCAGGCAATCTGGCCCCAGGAAGAGCCGCGCGGGAAGCCACAGGAATCCTGCGGCTGAGCCCTGCGGGAGCGCCCAAGGGGCGCAGGAGCTCTCGGGGCTGTTGGCCTCACTGAAAGAGTACGAGGACACTTGGCGAGGACCATCTTGGAGCATCGAGCGGAAAAAAACACGTACGAAACCGACAAATCCACGGGGAATGGACGTCCGAGCGATGGCAAGTGAAAGAGTATAATGACACTCGCGCGCCTTCTCCGAAGGCCCTCACCTTCCTGGAAGGCCGCCCCACTAGGCGCCCCCCCCCCCTTGGTGCGCACCGCCAGATGAGCGACGGGAGAAAACGGGGACGTCTTCACCGTCATTGGCGCGCAAGCTGCCCGCGTCAGGACGCGCGTAAGCGTCCCCGTTTCCAGTGTAGCATGTCGCGCCGGCAGCCCGCGTAAGCCGCCGCGTCAGGTCGCTCTGTCCTCCTGCGTAAGGCTCGCTTCGCTTCGTCGCCCAAGCGCGCTTCCTGCAGAACTCGAGCACGGCCCCGGCCAGCGCGCCACCCACCGCGGCGCACGCCGCGAGCCCGGCGGCGGTCCCCGGGCCGTGCAGCCACGCGCTTGCGCGCGCGGTGGCCTCGCAGGCGTTGCCGATGTCCGCGAGCTTCGTGCTGCGCACCTGCGACGCGCCGAGGCCGGCGGAGGCTCGGCTCGCCGGGGGGAGGACCAGCGCAAGGCAGCGGAGGGGGAGCCCCGCTGCGGCAGGTTCGCGTCGTGTCGGCCGTGGCCCAGAATCGGCCCATCGTTGAACGAGCCGGCGCTTCTGAAAGGGCCGATCGTTCAAGGTTGAGCGATCCCCGCGGTGTCAGGAACCAACGCCGGGTTCGACACGACGCGAACTTGCCGAACCTGCGGACTCTCAGCATGAAGCACCTCCTTCACCTCGCGCGGGCCTACGAGGTCCACCTGTGCCCCCGGATGCCGAACGTAGCCGAGGCACCCGACGAGTTGATCGCCCGTGGCCCTGGCAGCCCAGGGTCGTCCCGAGCGTTCGCGGCCTTCCTGAGCATCTGCGACTCACCGAACGCGGCTGAGGCATCCGATGGTTGATCGCCCATATCAGGGCGCGAGCTAAACGGTGGTCTGGCGAATTCGTGGACCGCTTTCGTTTTGATCTCGTTTCGCAGCAAAGGCGGGACGAAGACATAATGAAAGAGCACGAGAAAAATATTAGCCAAGGTGGACCCCAAACAGTGTGTTCTGGCATACTAGGTGATGCAATCGATCTGGCGCCGAGGCGGCGACGGGGCGGCGGGACGGCCACGGCGACCACATAATTAGCCGCCAGACCGCCAGCCAGTCCCAGTTCCTCATAACAGAAGTAAGAGTCTCTAAGTTCGAGCACTGTTTGTGGAAACGCACCGTTTGGCTCAAGCCCTGGCCCATGGTCCTGGCAGACCAAAGAGCGTGGGCGTCCTCCGCGAGCGAGGTCACCTGCAGCGGCCCGCGCGGCGGATGGCAGTTTCAATGGCGCCCAGAAGTTTTAATGGCGCGCGTGCGCGCGGCCCGCGGTTTCAATGGCGCCGGCTTCTCCCCAGCGACCTTGTTGTTGGCGACGATCGGCGAGAGCGGGCTGGGCAGGTTTGGTGGGACCCAGCTGGTGGTTGCCCGCGCTGCTGGCGCTGCCGTCGTCGACACAGCACCAGCGCCAGTGGGCTGCCTGATTCCGACTTCCTCTTCCTGTACGTCGTCGTCCTCCCCCATCTTCCTCCTCCATCTCCTCCTCCTCCTCCTCGTGCTCCTCCTCCTCCTCCTCCTCCTCCTCCTACTACTACAACTACTACTACCACCACCACCACTACTACAACTACTACTACTACTACTACTACTACTACTACTACTACTACTACTACTACTACTACTACTACTACTACTACTACTACTACTACTACTACTACTACTACTACTACTACTACTACTACTACTACTACTACTACTACTACTACTACTACTACTACTACTACTACTACTACTACTTTCTACTACTACTACTACTACTCCTACTCCTCCTACTCCTACTCCTACTCCTACTCCTACTCCTACTCCTACTCCTACTCCTACTCCTGCTCCTCCTTCTCCTCCTCCTCCTCCTCCTACTCCTCCTCGTCCTTCTCCTTCTCCTCTTTCTCCTCCTCCTCCTCCTCCTCCTCCTTCTCCTCCTTCTCCTCCTCCTCCTCCTCCTCCTCCTCCTCCTCCTCCTCCGCCTCCTCCTCCTCTTCATCCTCCTCGTGGAGGAGCCCAGGTGGGCCATCAGCGGCGACCTCCTGTGCACCGCGCTCGATACCTTCAAGCTCAACGCCTGATGGGAAGCTTTCGCGCACAGCACCCCGAGGAGTCGGAGGAGCAGAGGAGGACAAAATTCGCCGGCCCAACGGGCCAGAGGCGTGCTAAGATCTCCGGTAACTGGTTAATAATTCTCTAGTTCGCGCGCGCGGGGCGGCCCCTGGGGGTCCCCGGACGAAAAGTACCCCGGGCGATCCCCGACCGATCCCTGGGAGACTCCCGCAGAGCGCTCCATGAGCGCACCAACAGGGCTCCGAGACGTCCCCGAGAGCCCCAAGAAAGGCCAAGAGGCCCCCAAGATAGCCCCCAGACGCCCCAAGAGGCCTCCAAGAGCACTCCCAAGAGGGCCCCCGGAGGCAAAATTCATTGTTTTTCCTGAGGTTTTTGAGAGATTTTGGAGCTTCCACCTTTTCGGCTTCCCGACGCCCCAAGACGGCCCCAGAGGCCCCCAAGATCGCCCCAAGAGGGCCCAAGAGGCCCCCAAGAGGGCCCCAAGATGGCCCAAGAGGGCTCGAAGACGGCCCAAGAAGCCTCCAAGACGGTCCAAGAGGGCCCCAAGAACGCCCCCAAAGGGGCCCCAGAGAGGGAACACGAAACAACATTTCGAGCCCTCGGCCCTAAGAAGCCCCTACGAGGCCCCAAGAGGCCCCTAAGAGGCCCCAAGAGGCCCCCACGAGGCCCTCAGGAGGCCCCCAAGAGTCCCCCAAGCGGCCCCAGGAGGCCCCCCAAATGCCCCCCCGAGCGCCCCAGGAGTCCCCCAAGCGGCCCCAGGAACCCCCAAAGCGCCGCATTGACACCAGGCCCTCGGGCAAACGGCAGACATGAGACTGTGTGGGCCGGCGGAATGAGCGAAGCGATTAATAAAGGAGGGCCAGGAGGAGGAGGGCCAGAAGGAGTAGGGACAGGAGGAGGAGGGGAGGAGGAGGATAAGGAGGAGGAGCAGGAGGAGGGAGGAGGAGGAGGAGGAGGAGGAGGAAGACGAGGAGGAGGAGGAGGAGGAGGAGGAGGGGGAGAAGGAGGAGGAGGAGGAGGAGGAGGAGGAGGAGGAGGAGGGGGAGGAGGAAGAAGAGGAGGAGGAGGAGGAGGAGAGGGAGGAGGAGCAGGAGGAGAAAAGAAAGGACGGCCAGGAGGAGGAGGAGGAGGGGAGCAGGAGGAGGATGAGGAGGAGGAAGAGGAGGAGGAGGAGGAGGAGGAGGCGGAGAGGGAGGAGGAGGAGAAGGAGGAGGAGGAGGAAGAGGAGGAGGAGAAGGAGGAGAAGGAGGATAAGGAGGGAGGACCGGTGCAAATCCAAGGCGCATCAAAGATGTTGCAAGTATGCCTCCCTCCGAGTTCCATCTTCCTAGATCCCTACAAGAATGTACGCTCACTACTATAATTGCTCCGTTGGAAGACAAACGTCTGATAATCATCAATCGTGGCAGAAGACCACAATTGTGATTTCAACGCCGCGAAATATCTTTATTGTTGCGTCCTGGCGATCCCGCATCGTGCCAAAACACCATTTCTGGGACTCCAAGACCGCTGTTCAACGTGACTGTTTTGCCCGGGCAGTCCTAAGTCGTGGCGGAGCACCATTCCCGGGGCATCAACCATGAGAAGTCGTTAAAAAGCTGTTGTTTGTAGCACGAGTGTACGCGGCGCTGGGGCGAGGCCCACATCTTCAGAAAAGGCCCGCCCTCCGCCCTGGAACATCTTGCAGTGTTTACGACGCCTGTGCGCCGCGCTAACGCGAGAGCCACAGTCTGAAAGGGAACCGCCCTCCACCCGCGAAGCTCCTGCGAACTCTCTTCAATCGAGTGTGCTCAGGAGGGGAAAAAAAACACGGACACAATGAATCGTCGATCCCCCGGACAATATGGGGAACTACGGGAAGTGGGGGGGAAGACAGAACCCCCGACAATATGGTAACATCTAGGGAATCTTGTTGTTTGTGTGTACTCATTCGGGTGCCCCAGGGCCACATTCAGAACCCTTGACACGAATGCGCGCGGTGCCGAGGCGAGAGCCCGGTTCTGACGAGGGCCCGCCCTCCGCCCGTGGAGCTGCTGCAGACTCGTCCCCGGGGTGCGACGGGGCGGAGCTGCCCGTGAGGAACGCCGACGGGGGGGAGGGGTCCTCGGGAGGCAGCGGCGCAGAGGAGGGAGAGGACGTCGAGGGGCTAGGCGCGAGAGGAGAACTAGGCAGGAGAAGGAGCAGCGGAGGGAGGGAGGGAGGGAGGGAGGGGAGGAGGACAAGCTGTGTGCGCTCGCGTCATATCTGGCGTCCTACCCCTCCCTCCCATCCCGTGCCATGGCGCGGATTTTCTCTCTCCGCGGACGCGTGTCGTAGCGGACCTGTGGCTCCGCGCGCGCGTGCGTAGTGGGTGGTGGTGCGCGTGCGTGCGTGTGTGCGTGGTTGTGGTTGTGGTTGTGGTTGTGGTTGTGGTGGTGGTGGTGGTGGTGGTGGTGGTGGTGGTGGTGGTGGTGGTGGTGGTGGTGGTGGTGGTGTGTGGTGTGTGTGCGTGTGCGTGTGTGCGCGTGTGCTGTGGTGTGACGTGGTGTGGCGTCTTGGTGGTTTGGGCCAGGTGCGTGCGTGCGTGATGGCGGTGGTGGTGGTGGTGGCGGTGGTGGTGGTGGTGTGTGTGTGTGCGTGTGTGTGTGCGTGTGTGTATGTGTGTGTGGTTGTGTAGTTGTGTAGTTGTGTGGTTGTGTGGTTGTGTGGTTGTGTGTTGTGTGTGTTGTGTGTGTGTTGTGTGTTGTGTGTGTTGTGTGTTGTGTGTGTTGTGCGTGTTGTGTGTTGTGTGTGTTGTGTGTGTTGTGTGTGTTGTGTGTTGTGTGTGTTGTGTGTGTTGGGTGTTGTGTGTGTTGTGTGTGTTGTGTGTTGTGTGTGTTGTGTGTGTTGTGTGTGTTGTGTGTTGTGTGTTGTGTGTTGTGTGTGTTGTGTGTGTTGTGTGTGTTGTGTTGTGTGTGTTGTGTGTTGTGTGTGTTGTGTGTGTTCTGTGTGTTCTGTGTGTTGTGTGTTGTGTGTTGTGTGTTGTGTGTGTGTGTTGTGTGTTGTGTGTGTTGTGTGTGTTGTGTGTTGTGTGTGTTGTGTGTGTGTGTTGTGTGTTGTGTGTTTGTGTGTTGTGTGTTGTGTGTGTTGTGTGTTGTGTGTTGTGTGTGTTTAGTGTTGTGTGTGTTGTGTGTGTTGTGTGTGTGTTGTGTGTGTTGTGTGTGTTGTGTGTGTTGTGTGTTGCGTGTGTTGTGTGTGTTGCGTGTTGTGTGTGTGTGTTGTGTGTGTGTTGTGTGCCGAGCCGCCCGCGCGCTCGCCGCCGCCGCGGTGCGCTCAGCCGAAAAGGTCGAAGACCACGTCCTCCTCCTCCTCCTCCTCCACGGCCGCGGCCTTCCTCTCCTCCTTCTTCTCGCCGCCGCCCGCCGCCGGCGCTGCGGCCACCGGGTTCGCCGCAGAGTACGCCTCGGGGTCCTCCAGGAACTATTTGACAGGCTCCATCCTCCTCCTCCTCCTCCTCCTCCTCCTCCTCCTCCTCCTCCTCCTCCTCCTCCTCCTCCTCCTCCTCCTCCTCCTCCTCAGCGGCGTCGCCCTCGGCGCCCGCCGCCTGCCCCTGCGCCTCACGCGACGGCCGCCGCCGCCGCCGCCTCCACTGCAGCCGCCGCCGCCAGGCGTGCCGGGGTCGCCCCGGGCCGCGGGCGCTGCAGGCGCTGCAGGATGGCCCGCGCGTTCTCCCTGTGCAGGGAGACGGAGAGTCGCTGAGCCATGCGGCGAAGGCGCGCCGCGCCTCGCCGCCCCAGCTCCCGCCGTGCGCCTCCACCACCATGTAGGATGAAGGCGAGGTCCGCGTCGCGGCAAGCCTGCGCCGTGCCCTGGTGCTGCCGCTTGTACTCCTCGTACCTGTCGAGGGCGGCGGCCGGGTCGGCGGCGGAGCGCGCGATGAGGTCCGCGCGCAGGCCGGACGTCACCGCGAAGTCCAAGGCCGCCGAAAGCCCGCCGCGCCACCCGGGGACATAGACATCCGCTGGCCAGCGGCCGTCGTTGTCTAGTCCGTCGCCGTCGGGCTCCTCGGCGTTCGGCGTCGGGATCCTCGGCGTTCGGCCCCTCGTGTGTTGTGTGTGTTGTGGGTTTTGTGGGTGTTGTGGGTGTTGTGGGCGTTGTGGGTGTTGTGGGTGTTGTGGGTGTTGTGGGTGTTGTGGGCGTTGTGGGTGTTGTGTGTGTGTGTGTGCGTGCGTGCGTGCGTGCGTGCGTGCGTGTGTGTCTGTGTGCGCGCGCGTGTGATGTGGTGTGACGCGGTGTAGCGTGGTGGTGGTGGGTGGGGTGGTGGGGTGGTGGTGGCGGTGCGCGTGCGTGCGTGCGTGCGTGCGTTGGTGGGTGGAAGTGGCGGTGGGCGGGGCGGGGCGCGGTGCGGTGGTGGCGGGCGGATGGGCGCACGAGAAAGAGGCCCGCGCTGGGGCGAGAACGCCATCCTGAACGACGGAGGCAAAACACCGATCCGAAAATGAGACCCACGCTGCAGCGGGAGCACGATTCGGAACGAGCGGGGCCCGAAAATGAGGCCGGCGCCTCAGCGTGAGCAGAATTTTGAAAAAATGCAGGCGAAAACCCAACTCCCGGGAATCCTGTGTGTACAGAAGCAGGACGCGGGGGGGGGGGCGCGAACACTCCCAGCACGTCATCAGGGGAAGAGGGAGAGTAGTACTTATATTGAGTAATTGTGGATGGGGCGGAGGACGAGGAGGAGGAGGAGGAGGAGGAGGAGGAGGAGGATTCGATTCTGTCTTGGGTTCCACAGTCTTGCGTGCCACTACGCGCAACACCAACATTACCATGACTCCCTTGGGCAATGCTGTCGTGCATCGTGGCACTGAGCAACATCTGAACCTCGCGGTGACTTATTACGCACCTTCATTGTGTATCGACCATGTGCGGTTCCTCGAGAACGGGCGCAAGCCCAGCTGGCACCCCTGCTGCCCGCACGCAGCAGGCAGGGGGCCAAGCGGCACCCGTGCTGGGTGCGGAGACGCTGGCTGGGCGACCTCGACGGGCCTCAATCGAGGATCGGCCGATATATCCAAAAAGTGCACTGCCCACGGCTGGCGCCGCCCGGGGAGGACAAATCCTGCCCCCCCAGCGGCTACCCCAGATCTTGGCCCAGACCCGACGCGTCTTCCTCATCGGACACGGATTCGCAGATCGCCCCCGCTACCAGCCTCCCGACCATCTCGCCCTCCCTCGCGCTCAAGGGGAGAGGAGGCGGGGAAGGTCTCGGTCCTGGGGTCTGGCGGAACTCCTCGCGCTCGTTCGCGAGAGTGCCTGCACTGACAAAGACTATGCGACGTCCTGCGGGGGGTGGATCCAGGGAGGGAGGAGGAACAATCGGGGGGAGAGGGGAGCGGATAGCTGGTAACGAAAGGCTCGCGGTGGGACCTACCACTGGCTCCCCGTTGCGGAGTTTGCCTCTGCCCTTGCCTCGGCCTTTGCCGCGTGCCCCTTTTGGTTGTATTGACTCGGGAGGTCCAGGAGTGAGGAGCGTGGGTGCCAGGGCTGCCTCTGAAGAACGGGTACTGGCGCCACTGGCTGGGCGCTCGGAGGCCCATTCTCAGCGACTAATTGTCTATGCCGTGCGTTGTCCCTGAACGCTGCAGGCACCTGTGCGGTCACCTCGGCCTCCGAGAGTGGTCGAACAGTCACGACCATATTGGAGAGTTTGCCCCAGGTTGTTTCTGGCCTCCCACTTTCACGATTTCTTTCGCCAACATGTCGCGAATATGGCGCACGTTCTGGTCGTAGGTGGCCATGGCGAAGATGATGCGGCAGTTCTCCTTTCGGCTGACTTCTGCTTGCTGCCAGCAGCAGATCCATGAAGAACTTCGCTAGGATCGGCCTATCGGTCTCCGAGTCCAAGTCTGCCATCGCCTGGAACACCTTCGCGGCGACGACCAGCTGTGGGGGCCCAACTGCGCCAGGTCCACCGACGCGCCCTTCTCGAGCTGCTCGGGGAGCTCCTTGGCCCGTTCGTTGTATTCGCGCCCCGCCTGGATGCCTGCCGCTGGGAGGGGTGCGTCTACGTTGACTTCCCATCTTTCGACACCGTGGCCGCGAGGAGAAGGCGAAGGAGGAGGAGGAGGAGGAGGAAGAGGAGGAGGAGGAGGAGGAGAAGGAAAAAGAGGAGGAGGAGGAGAAGGAGGAGGAGGAGGAGGGGAGGAGGAGGAGGAGGAGGAGGAGGAGGAGGAGGTGTCGGCCCCGGGCGCCGCAGGCCGACAGGGCTCTTGCCCCCCCGCGCGCGCGCTCGCCAGACGCCTCCTGTTTTTGTTTTGTTTTCTTCCCCGGACCTCTGCGGGCACGCCGCGGCGTCTTCGCCGCGAGGTTCAGCTGCGGCGGCGAGACTCCCGGACGGGCGGGGGGGTACAGGGGCTTCGGGAGCCGATCGGCCACGCGTGACCCAGTCAGACCCTCTCCTGCTCCGTCTCCTTCCTCCTCCCCCATCCCCCTCCTCCTCGCCCACCCCCTCCTTCCCCTCACTTCTCCCCCATACCCCTCCCCCTCCGCCGCCGCCGCCTCCTCCTCCTCCTCCTCCTCCTTCTCCTACTCTCCTCCCTCCTCCTCCTGCTCCTGGTCCTGGTCCTGGTCCTCCTTCGCCTTCTTCTTCTTCTTCTTATTCTTCTTCTTCTTCTTATTATTATTATTATTATTATTCTTCGCCTTCTTCTTCTTATCCTCTTCCTCCTCCTCCTCCTCCACCTCCTCCTGCGCCTCATCCTCCTCCTCGCCCTCCTCGTGGACATGTTGAACACAAAACGATTGACGGTTTTCGTAGTTTCCAGCGTCCGGGGGCCCTCGCCAGGCCCCGGGTCCGAAACCGCCGCACGTACGGTCGGGAATGTTTGCGAAGCGTGTCGTTCCGCCAGTTCTGGTCCACCACGCTTCGGTACGACACGCTATCCGGTTCCCAGCCGCCCAGCGTCTGCGTCCCGAGCTTTTCCGAGCCTCCCGCCCCGCTGAGCGGAGCGGCACGCCATCCGCTCGCAGGGCATAGTGTGTCGCCGGGGCCGCCGCCGCGACACGCTATCCAAATGTTCCCGACCGTACCCAGTCAGACTTCCGACGCGTCGGCAATTACCCTGTGACGTACCCAACCAACCGATTTGCATTAAGTGACAAGAGGGGTTGGCACAGATTCGTACGGTTGATGACAACACTGGAACGGGCATGTGTTGTGGAAGTTACATGGGATGCGCTCGTGCTGCACGATTCACAGGGCAGGAATATAACGACGAGGACTGAGGCCCCAGGTTCGAAGAGGAAGTGGGGGTGAGAGCGAGGTGCTGGATAAGGACGGAAGAGAAGACGGTGGAAGGAGGAAGAGGACGACAACGAAAGAGGCAGGAAGAGGAATGCGGGCGGCGATTATTTTTCAGTGGCACGCCGGACATGCAGCGCTGCCCTCGCCGTGTCGTTGTGGCGCTCTCAAGCGACGGCGAGGTCTCATCTAATTTGGATCGAGCGTCACGCCGCTGGACCTCCAAGGAGCCCACGACTGTGGCGACACTCTAGCAGCTCGCATCTCCCACCGACTGCGAGGTCTCATCTGATCTGAACAGGACGTCACGCTGCTGGACCTCCCAGGAACGCGCGAAAGTTACGACCGTTTCGCAGTTCGCAACCCCGAGGTCTCGTCACTCCTATGGACCTCCTGGCAGCCCACGACAGCGGTCTCACCAGATCTGAATAGGACATCACTCTTATGGAACACACGAGTGGCGACAGAGTCGCAATTCGCAGCTCCCAGCGACGGCTACGTCGAATCTGAACTGAATATAACGTCACGTCACGCCGCTGGACCTCCCAGGAGCCCACGAAAGTGGCGACACATTCGCAGTTCGCACCCAGGAGCGAACGAAAGCGGCGACACATTCGCAGTCCGTAACCCTGGCGGCGAGGTGTCATCTGATCTGAATAAGACGTCGCTCCGCTTGACCTCCCAGGAGCCCACGAAAGTGGCGACAGTTTCGCAGTTCGCACCCAGGAGCGAACGAACGCGGCGACACATTCGCAGTCCGAGACCCCGGCGGCGAGGTGTCATCTGATCTGAATAGGACGTCGCTCCGCTGGACCTCCCAGGAGCCCACGGCAGTGGCGACAGTTTCTAAGCTCGCATCTCCCAGCGACGGCGAGGTGCCATCTGATCTAAATAGGACGTCGCTCCGCTGGACTCCCAGGACCCTTCGAAGGTGGCGACACTTTCGCAGTTCGCATCCCCGAGGTCTCGTCACTCCTATGGACCTCCCGGCAGCCCACGACAGCGGCGACCGTTTTTCAATTCGCAGCACCCAGCGAACCCCCAGGTAGGGCGGTGAGGCAGGAGGTTCGAAGCAGGAGAGAAGAGAAGGAGGGAAGACAGGAGGAGGGAGGCAGGAGGAGGGGGACGAGGAGGACGCCGAAAACGACGAAACAGATCAATCTTTCTGCTTTTCCAAACCCAGCGCCAGAAGGTTGGGAAAAGCATCGAGATAGAGACTTCTCGTCGTCTTCGGCGTCCAGGGGCCCTCGCCGGGCGGACCTCTGACGCGTTGGAAGAAGTGAAGATGGATGTTATTCGTCATTTCCGGCGTCCTTCTCCTCCTCTCTCTCCTCCTCCTCTCTCTCCTCCTCCTCCTCCTCCTCCTCCTCCTCCTCCTCCTCCTCCTCCTCCTCCTCCTCCTCCTCCTCCTCCTCCTCCTCGTGGGCGCGCTGGAAAACTTCAAGATGCCGCTCTGTAGTTTTCGGCATCTGGGGGTCCTCGCCGGGCGAAGGGGCCCCCACGACAAACGATCCGGGACGAAAATCTGGTCCCCGGGAAGTGGTCCAGAGCTCTGGGAGCCGCGCACTGAGGCACCGAGTCGTCGAAGGTCTTGGTCAGAGTGGCCCTTCGCCGAAGTGGCCTCCTTGTGCGCGGCTGTCAGAGTGGGGCGCTGGGGGGGCAAGCCGAAGCGCGCAGGCCGCCGTTGTCTCGGCGCGTGCGACGATCGGCAAGCCTCGTTCCAAGGGTCGCTCTTGCCTGGGGTCTCTCTTGCACGTGGCCGAGCCGAGTAGGGATGGCTCTCCTCCGTGCTCCTCCAGTTCCTCGCCCCTCCCTCCGCGGACCCACCCCCAATCCTCATTCCTCTCCTCGTCCTCCACCCGCTCCTTCCACGTTTTGGGTTAACTTATATCACATCATCCGTTTCCTTCTGCTTCTTTCTTCATCTTATTATTATCTCCTTCTGGTTATTATGAGTATTACTAGAATGTGCTGGCCTCCGGCCAGTGCCGCCGATCAGGGGCGCTCTGGATGATGACGATGACGATGACGATGACGATGACGATGACGATGATGATGATGATGATGATGATGATGATGATGATGATGATGATGATGATGATGATGATGATGTTGATACTGACGATGATGATGATGATGATGATGATGATGATGATGATGATGATGATGGTGGTGGTGGTGATGGTGGTGGTGGTGATGGTGATGATGATGGTGATGGTGATGGTGATGGTGATGGTGATGGTGATGGTGATGGTGATGGTGATGGTGATGGTGATGGTGATGGTGATGGTGATGGTGATGGTGATGATGGTGATGATGACGATGACGATGACGATGATGATGATGATGATGATGATGATGATGATGATGATGATGATGATGATGATGATGATGATGATGATGATGATGATGATGATGATGATGATGATGACGTGTATCATGGTAATGGCCGTGGGGCATGGGGCCATCTTGGGCGTATTGGACCGATCGTTCGGTGATTCGGGGCTTTCTTGGGTCGTCTTGATGACCTCTTGGGGCCCTGTTGGCCCGTCTTGGGCCTCTCTTGGGCTCGAAAAAGTCATGCGGGAACATTCTGAGGGCCCCAGAGTTCGCGCGGGGAGCCCTTAGAGATTTGAGATCTTTGGGTCCGGGCCCATTAAGAATCCTCAGGCTTGAGGACTGAGGTTCAGGGGATTGAGCAAGGGACCTGGGGAAGCCTCTTGGGGGGTCGTTTCGGGGCCTCTTTCGAGCCTCTTGGGGGCCTTCTTGGAGCATCCTGGGGGCTTCTTGGGGGCCTGTGGGCCCCCCCACCTCCGAGCACTAAATGCGTCGGGAGTGGCGTCCCCCCCCTTCCAGAGCCTCCTGGGGGCTTCTTGGGGGTCTGTGGGCACCCCCGCCCACGGGCACTAAATGCATCGGGAATGGCGTCCCCCCCCCCTTGCAAAGCGAGCTCAAGTCCACGCTCTCAGAAACTCGCACGCTGGATCGGCTGATTCTTCTTCGTCCACATCAGCCAGCTCACAGCGCGGTGCGCGCAGACGCTTTTCTTGCTCTGTAACTCTCGTACCACTGCAACATAATGATACTACCTTGTGCTTCTCTTAGTCGTGAGGATGGAACAAACAACGGGTCTCGCCTGAGTGGCAAGCCCATCAGGCGCTCGTCCTTAAGGGCGCTTCCCGCAGTGGAAAGAAGTCGTTGCACTGACGCATGAGGAGGGTACTGGGGACGGACCCGTGCATTGCAGCATCGTTGGCGCATCCTGGTTTTATTAATCGCTTCGCTCATTCCGCCGGCCCGTATTGTGCCATCGCAGGCGTTTGCTTGCGCGTTCGTGGCCTCTTGGAGCCTCGGTGGGGCCGTTTGGGGCCTCTTGGCGCCTCTTTTTGGGCCTCTTGGAGAACTCGGGAGGCCTCCAGGGGGCCTCCTGAGCTCTCGTGACGGTCTCTTGGGGGGCTTTCGGCGGGCTCTTGGCGGTATTTGTTGGTCCTCTTGGGGCCTGGGGCCTGACGTTGTTGGTCCTCTTGGGGCCTCACGGGAGCTTATTGGGGCGTCTTGGGGGTGTCTTGGAGAGTCTCTTGGGGCCTCTTTCGGGGTCCTGGGCGCCTTCTGGGGCGGAGGGCTCGATTTTTCAGTTCTCGGTTCCCTTCTTGAGCCCCTCTTGGGCCCGTCTTGGGGCCTCTTGGTCCGCCTTGGGCAGCACTTGGGCCGTCTGGGGGGCGCTCTTGGGCCGCTCCGGGGCCGTCTTGGGAGCCTCGTGGGCCGTCTTGGAGCAGTCTTGAAGGCCTCTTGGGCCCTCTTGGAGCGTCCGGAAGCGAAAAGGCCAGAACGCAAAAAAACATAGAAAAAACCAATGAAAATCAACGATTTTGGCAACTTGGGGCCCTCTTCGGAGGCCTCTTGGAAGGCCCTTGGAGCGTCTTGGAGGCCTCTTGGGCTGTCTTGGGGCCATCTGGGGCGTCTTCGGGCGATCTTTGGCCGTCTCGGGCCTCTCTTGGACCGTCTAGAAAGCTTCTCGGGGCCCTCTTGGACCGATCTGGAGCCCTCTTGGACTCCGAAACAGAACTCCGGCATCTCTGACCCGACTTTGCCGGGACCTTGCCGGGGACTTGCCGGGACCTTGCCGGGGTACTTTTCGTCCGGGGACCCCCAGGGGCCGCCCCGCGCGCGCGAACTAGAAATACTGTTAACCAGGTACCGGAGATCTTAGCACGCCCTGGCCCGTTGGGCCGGCGAATTATGGTCCTCCTTCCCCTTCCCCTACCCATCCTGTCAGGAGCAACGTCCGGGGGGATGGGCTATGGGGAGATGTATCTGCCCCCAATCGCCCATTGATCGCCGAAATGGGGCCCGATAGCCCACTCCACCCAGGACAGTACGGATTCGCAGTCGGTGGGATCTCGCCCATCGATCGGCGGCATGTCGCCGATCCACGCTCGGTGTTTCACACTCTGAGCAGGTACCTCCCTAGCGTTCCTCGTTCTCCTCCTGCTCCCCCTCCTATTCCTCCTCCTCCTCCTCGTCCTCGTTCTCCTCCCCCCCGTCCTCCATCACTTCTCTTAGTAATCGACAACTTCTCCCTGTCGCACCCCGAGGCTGGTCGAAAGGGCGGGCCGGGCGTTTTGCTTGAGATTCCTTCACCGCAGATGATCCTGAAGCTCAAAATTTTTCACGAGTTTCACGGATGAAGGGCGGCCCGTTTTCGAAATGCGGTTCTCGTTTTAGCGGCGCGCGCGTTCGCCTTCAATGTTTCCAAGAGTTTCACGGACGGAGGGCGGCTCCTTTTTCAAAATGTGGATATCGCCTAACACCGCGCACATTCGTTTTCAGACTTAGCAAGACCTTCTCGGATGGAGTGTGGCTCTTTTTCAAAATGTGGCTCTCGCGTCAGAGCCACGCACAGTCGTCTTCAGAGCTTGCAGCAGACTCAAAGATTTCATGGTCAACGTCCCAGTTATGGTGTTTGGGATGATGTCGGAATGTCCGGGCGCAACGATCATGTTGATTCGATGTGCTGAAGTCCCAAGAACGGTGCTTTGGCACGACTCATGGTCGTCAATACGTACGTAACAGTAACGGTGATTCGCGGCGCTGATGTCCCAGGAATGACCTTCTGGTGCAATTCTGGATTTCCAAACGTTTGATTTAAAACTGGCACTTCCTTCAGTGAAAATGAATCCGTGTACGGGCCTACACACAGGGACCTTGGAGGGAGGGTCTGTTGCAAAATCGTTGATGAGTCTTTGATTTACACTGGTTTTCGTCCTGCTCCTCATCCTCCTCATCCTCCTCCTCATCCTCCTCCTCCTCCTCCTCCTCCTCCTCCCCCTCCCGCTCCTCCTCCTCCTCCTCCTCCTCTCCTCGGGCCTTCCCGCACTGCCGCCGCTCCCAGAACCCTGCGCCCCCCCGAGGGCCCACCGCCGACCCGGCGTTTTTCTCCCGCGACGGCCTTCGCACCATCCCCTCCCCACGCTCGAAGGGGAGGGATGAGGAGAAGTGGGGGGGCGAGAGGTTCCTGGATACTCCGCTATCACACGAGTGATTTAAACAAAGGCTGAGATTCAGGCCATGGGATGCAAACCGCGAGAGATTGGATCTAGATGCAATCGGCCATCACAAGAGCGACATGAAACTAAAGATGCACCCCCTGAACACGTTGAATAGCGCGGATACGAGGGACAGGAGGCCCAGCCGTGGAGCCCGCCAAAAAGTTTGTGGAACACCAAAAGCGTGGTACTGCCAAAGGAGCCCCTCCACCATGAAGATGTTCACTCCGTCCTGACCGAGCCACCAAGAGCGGATCAGGCGACCTGCATTTTGCCGTGCCGCGCGCGGCGCGCCCCTTGGCGCGCCGCGCGTCCTGACAATTCCGAAGCGGCGGGCGCACAGCCCTCGGATAACGACGCGCCCCTCGGCATGCCGCCCCGATAAGCCACCCGAGGGGCGCCACTCCCCTGGGCGGCCGCAGACCCCCACGCACGCCAGGGCAGGGGACCCTGGCCGTGGGAAGAACGGGTGTGGATCCACCCATGGGCCCCCCCCGCAGGGGACCCCCCACCCGCCCAGGCGCACGCGGTGTACGTGCCAGGCCACCGCAAGGGGTGGGAAAACATGGCGACGAGGCGCAGTTTTCTGCCCCCCCTGTCTCCTACGGGCAAACAGGGTTGACGACCGGGCTGCGACCCATTTGTTTTCCTGAGAAGGGCGCCCAGTGGCACAGGTGCCGCGAAGGGGGGGGGGGGGGGAGGGGGGGGAGGGGAGGAGATGGGGGGGGGAGAGGAGGGGCGGGGGAGGGAGGAGGGGGGGGCGGGGCGAAAGGGAGGTGTAGAGGGGGGGGGGGGGGAGGAAGGAGGGGGGGGAAGGAGAGAGACGAGGGAGAGGGCTGGGGGAGGGGGCGCAGAGGAGGGCACAGGAGGAGGGGAGGGCGGAAGAATGGGGGGGGGAGAGGAAGGGGCTGGATGGGGGCAGGCAGAAGGGGGGGGGATGGGGGGGAGGGGGGGCTGGCTCTTTCGCCCGCGCGGGCCATCGCCCGAGTTCGCCCGGGGCGTGGCCCCCCGCCCCTCGACGGGCGGAGCGCGCGCGCGGCGCTGGAGGGCCCGCCCCGCACGAGAGGCTGCGCGCGCAGAGGATCTGGCCCTCTCTCGTCCCCGTCGCGTCCGTCCTCCGTCCTTCCCCCTCCGCCCCTTCCCCCCCCCCCCCCCTTTTCTTTCCCTCCTCCCCCCCTCTCCCCTCTGTCCCCTCCCTCGTCCCCCTCCCCCGCCATCCCGTCTTCCCCTCCGCGGACGACGCGCGTGCGCGTTGCACACGAGGGAGAACGTAGCATTGTAATGAAGCCAACATGCGGGGAGAGACGGGCGGAGCATATCAGAGATTCGCATGTCGTTGCGGGCGCCCCCATCAGTCACCACTGATAACGACACTGCCCCATTTCATCGTTGAGCGACCCAGACCTTCTCGCCCTCCCCCCCGCACCTTTTTCCTCCCTCCTCTTCGCCCTCTACCCATCCGAGTTGTGGTTCAGCCGATTGCAGGTATACTCGGCCCTTCCTGGTATGGCTCTTGCTCAGTGTGGTGACCAGGTTACGAGAGACATGCTGCCGTGTTCCTTCCCCGTGTCCCGCTCGGCGAGCTCAGGGGCTTGGCATCGCTCGGACGTGTGCTGGGTTTCTCGGCGATGGCCATCGAGGAGCATATTGGATTATCTCGCGACCCTCCAAAAAAACAGGCGAGAAACCGAACAATGCACGGGGAATGGACGTCCGAGCGATGGCAATTCCTCCTTCTCCTCCTCCTCCTCCTCCTCCTCCTCCTTCTCCTCTTCCTCCTCCTCCTCGTCCTGTATTCCTTCTCCTTATGAATTAGTCCTCCCTGTCGCACCCCGAGGCCAGTTTTTAGGCCGGGCCGGACGTTTCGCGTGAGACTCCCTCACCATGTACGATTCTGAAGCTTCTAAAGTGACAACCGTTTCACAGATGGAGGGCGGGTGGTTATCAAAATGTGGCTCTCGCCTTAGCGCCGACGCGCATATTCGTTTTCAACATGTGCAACAGCTTCACTGATTGAGGGCGGTTCCTTTTTCAGACTGTGGCTCTCGCCTTAGCGCCGCGCACATTCTTTTTAAACATTCGCAATAGGTTCACGGATTGCGGGCGGGTCGTTTTCAAAATGTGGTTTTCGCCTTCGCGCCGCGCGCATTCGTTTTACAAAATTGCAAGAGCTTCGCGGATTGAGGGCGACTCCTTTTTCAAAATGTGACTCGCGCCTCAGCGCCGCGCACATTCGTTTTAAACATTTGCAAGAGCTTCACGGATTGATGGCGGTCGGTTTTCAAAAGTGGCTCACGCTTTCGCGCCGCGCACATTCGTTTACAAAATTTGCAAAAGTTTCACGTTTCGAGGGCGGTTCCTTTTCAAAATGCGGTTTTCGCCTTGGCGCCGCGCGCATTCGTTCTAAAACATTGCAAGAGTTTCACGGGTTCCTATGATCAGTGCACCAGTAAATTATGTTTTCGAAAAGATTCCAGATTATCTGGGCGCAACAGTTATGTTGGCTCGCTGCGTTGAAGTCCCACACATGGCGTTTTGGCACGATTCTGGATCGTCAAGACGCAGCAAGTAGGTTGATACGTGGCCTTGAAATCCCGAGAACATGTTTTAGCACGTTCCAGGATATTCGAACTGTTGTCTTCTAGCGAGGCAGTTCCCTCAGTGGAAACGAACCGTTGTATGAGGCTAATGAAGAGGGAGTTTGGAGGGAGGGTTTATCCCAACATCGTTGATGATTCTTGGGTTTCCACGGGTCCTCCTCATCCTCATCCTCCTCCTCCTCTTCCCCCGCTTCTTTCTCGAAGCCGAGGCGGAGGAGGGGAGTTTCCACCAGACCGCTACGCGACAGAGTCTCCAGAGCCCACCTCTCCCCTTCTTCCCCCCCCCCCCTTCCCTTCCCCTCCCTCTCCTTTCCTCCCCTTTCCCCCAAAAAATGTAATCATTTATGTGTTGTGGGTAAGAGGCTCCAGAACCAATCGTGACACCTTCGAATGTTCACCCAACTATCATTCACCGTTGTGGCTCAAGCCATAGGATTCGACAACTAGCGGTGGCAAAACTAACTCTGCTAGCTTTGAGACTCGCCGTCTCCTGCCTTCAGCTTCACCGTTTGTTTCTGGCACAGCGTCGATTGCGACATCTACGTGTCCGTTGAGCAGCAGCACAAGTACGCGAGCAAAAACCGTGCATCGCGCACGCGATAGCAGCAGCGGCTTCATATATTTTCATCACCCTCATCATCGACACTTGGCTCGGCGAGCACAAGTACTTCGCCATGGACTACGGAGACACCTCAGGCAGCGGCAGCGGCATCCCGCTTGACACGCTCAACAAGAACACGCCGCCTGGATGGCGGCCGGGCACTTCTCAGCACCCGCTGCGCAGCGACATCTAGCTGATCAGGCTGTAGTGGAGACAAACGGAGTTGCCAAAACATGCAGCAGGGCCAGCAACGGCAGAGCGCCTGGGAGGCGCTGATTTCCAACGAGCGGCGAAGATGGAACCATATCGGCTGGACTTTGCAGCGGGAGCTAGACGTGAGATGGAAGTAGACGAGCTATTAACGCAACCATCACATCCATAGTGGCAAGATGCCAATGGTGTCATGCACCCCGCAGAATCAGCAGGAGTTGCCCTTCTCATGGATCTACTGGTTGGCGAGTCTGAAGTTCAAGATCATGATATGGTTACCGTGTCATTGACCACGACCATGATCAGGCTGCGGGCAAAGGAGGCATGCAGCTCAACAGCGTAGACAAGAGTTTCATGTTGTTGCAAATGTCTGGGCTCTCCCAGCGCATGAGAACCGACCTACGCATGCAGACACAAGGCGATCTCAATCCTATCCCCGAGCTCGCAGCACTCATGCAGGAAACGGCCAATCACGAGTTCCAGGGAGCGCCCTTTTCAATTCCGCCCGTGGTCTTTCAGTACCGGGCAGCCGAGGCAGTCTACTGGGGCGACATTTGGTCGGAGTACGACAGCCTTGAGACTCGAGCAACTGATGTATCGTGGTCCTGGGTCGGCTACGACGACGGGTGGCAGGAAGGCTACTGGCACGGAGCAGGCGCCGATTGGAAAGGCCGCGCAGACGAAGGCGCCCACAACGACGAGGACCCAGCGGAACAAGCAGAGGAGGACGACTACGGCGGAGGTCGAGGACGCGGCACGTCACGTGTACGCGGCAAGAGGGGGCGCAGTCGCAGTAAGAGCTCAGGCGGCAAGACAAACTCAAAAAATGGTTGCGCGACATGCGCGTCGCCGCTTCACGATTACGCGAAAGACGCACTCGTCCAAGCCACCGAGCGACTGCCGCGGCAAGAACGACGGCAGGGGCAAGTATCGCAGTAGCAGCGAAGGCAAGCAGCATCGGGGCAAGTCCAAGAGCGGCAGCAAGCATGGCGGCAAAGTTTGCGGCGAGGCTTGGCGCAACAAGTCTCATGGTCAGAAGTGCAAGAGGAATGGCACGGTCAACAGTTACTACGACGAGGGTTTCGCCATTGCAGAACGAGGACAATCGTGGCGAAAGCGCATGGTTCACTCATGGCATGACTACTGGCTGCGACGGAGATGCGATTGCACCGGGGTCCGAGTTGCTCTCTCTGGGTTCGCTTGCGCAGATTCTCCCGGCCAGGCCGGCGATCGCCGCGCCCTCTATGCGCAGCGTTCATCATGGCGCGACGCTCGGCATGGCTCAGGCGGCAGCCTCGCCACTTGAACAGACTGCGATATTCAACTTTCCGACTGCGCCCGCACGGGGCCGATCAGCATCGCCATCAGGATCAGTGCGACCATCTGCAGGACCCATCTTGCGGAAGTCGATTTCGTTGACGATGGCCACCTTCGACGCGGCGTTGAACTTTCCTGCAACTGGCGAGCAGTTCGGCGCCGAGCACGCGGCCCAAGGCGAAGATCGGCCAGGGCCCCCAGTTGATGCTGCAGCATCTTGAGCTCTCATGGGCACAGACGCGCCGCGCATCTTCTTGGACAAGGTCGCAGAGCCGACGGGCGCCATGAGCGAGGTGACCCTCGGCCCCTCGGACGCGATGCCCACTGGAGTCGAGCGCGCGCCCCGCCACTTGAAGTCCCCGGTCTTCCGGGGGCTACCTCTTCGACGGACTTGATTGGCAGTCAAGGGCCATCGCGTCTTGGACTGATGCCGCGCTCGCCGATGCGCAGCACGGTGGATTGCAGCGCGTCGGCAGCTTGCGGCGTCTACAACAACCGCGACGGCATCATGATTTTTCCAGCTCCTGGCAGACGGAGGCGCAACCACCATGAGCGCCAGTAGCGCGCATCCCCCCCGCCGACTCGACTCACTACCTGCCCGACAGATAGGCTCCAGCAGACTGCTCGAGATTGCGCGGACGAGCATGTCGAGTTTTGCGATATGTTGAAGCGCCATTGGCTTGAGGTGCCAGCGAGGCGTCGAGGCCAACGTCGAGCGGGCGCCCTGGCACAACAAGTCGCAACAAGTCTGAGATCGAAGGTCCGCCACAAGCAGAGGCCGAAAAGACGGGCACTGGACTCGTTCATGAACCTCCGACAGCATCGGCACCCTCAGCCTGCAGCATCGAGCAGCAGATTGAAACGCAGCTTTCACCAGACACATCTCACCAGCAGCGGCATCACTGTTCTCGCCAGAACACCCAGGTTTTAAGCGACCGAGGGCACATCGAAGTTCCACGCCCCCTTCAGTCTGGAGCGCCGGGCCACGCCTACTCCCAGGATGTCTGGTTATGTTGGGCATGTCCCGCCACTGGATGAAAATTAAAAATGGTCGAAACATAATATTGCGGCGATTGCTCATGCTGTGCTCACAATTGCTCCAGAAACAATATGGGAATAGTTTTTTGGAAATTGGCTAGGCGAACGCGCGATGCACGCGGCTGAGAAAACGCGATGCGCCGCGCGGCACCGCCATTATCTGCTTCGCCGCACTTCGGCGGCAGCGCGCGCGATCGCGCTGCAGCAGAGGGTCGCACCTATGGCGACGCGGCTTGCGCAACGTGCGCCATTATTTTTCGACCGCGCGCTGCCGACGTGGATTGGATGGCACAGCGCTGCGATTAGCTTCGCGCGCA